CATTCAGATTCAGCATAGGAGGCATGATTTGTGGTTCTGTCAAATCTCCTGGAAACCCATGAAGGATAGGAAGGGACAGGCTGCAGGTTAGTCCCTGCATCTCCATCACAATATCTCTCCATTCTGGTTTCACCTGTTTAGAAATACAAAAATACAAATGTACATGCGTAAATGGAAACCAGTAAGCAATAAAAAAATGAGCAAATACTGTATTTAGTAATTATGTCAGTTACAACAAGAATTTTCTAGTTACTGCTTAGTAAATGTGCATCTTCACCAATATCATTCATTTCTGGGTTTTCGTCCTCAAGGAGATCAGGTTGCATTCCATTGGACTGCCAGAGGAACAGATCATTGATGGTTAATTTTATTATTTTTGAATGCTACAGGCAATTTTAGCAGAAAACAATTGTTTCTGTATTCTAGACATACAATCTCTGAACCATGAAATACACTAATTGAATATGATTTGTTTGAAACACTTTTTACAATACAGTCCCATTAGTTAATATTAGTTAATGCATTAAGTAAAACTCTTACATGTTAGTTAATAAAAATACAACTGTTCAAGTTAGCTTAGATCCATTGGACGCAATAACAGAATACCCTGACAAAAAAAAAAAAGCTTTGAAACAAATTTCACTCAGAAAATGCTAGTAAATTTTTACAAATAATTTAAAAACATCATATTGTAATCACACAATGTACTGTAACACACTGAAAAAACATGACATTTTGAAGCAGAAACTGAAATTTACTTATACAAAATACTCCAATAACCTTTATTTGCAACTTGGAATTTTTTATTTTAATAATGCATTAATAAATGACATAAACAAATGCTTTAGAAGTATTTTTTCATTGTCAGTTCATGTTAAATCTGAATATACTAGACCACAACTAAAATGCTTACTAGGAATAGGTAACAATATTAAACCCTACTTAAGGTAGTATGAGTCTGTCATGAGCCTGATTTGTAAACAAATGCAGGTATAATGCATTAATAAATGACATAAACAAATGCTTTAGAAGTATTTTTTCATTGTCAGTTCATGTTAAATCTGAATATACTAGACCACAACTAAAATGCTTACTAGGAATAGGTAACAATATTAATCCTATGTTAACAAAAAGAGAAGCAGTGTGTAGGGGGGAAAAGGGAGGTAGTATGAGTCTGTCATGAGCCTGATTTGTAAACAAATGCAGGTATGCTATCTCTCACACTAACCTCTTGATGGCAGTGCTGGACCGTGTCCTGGTCTATGAAGTTATCCCTGTGGACTGTTACAAAAACTCCTGCACTCCCGTACTGTGTGTCGTCTTACCAGGATAGCAAGTGTAGAAATAACAAATAGTAAACAAGCATGAATTTAAATTTTAATCTCAATATTCACTCAAAGGTTTGTCATGTTTAAATATTTTCTCTGGAAAATAAATATAAAATAAAATATACAATAAAGAGATAAGATGAATAACACTATTATTAATTGTAATAACTAATAACTTTAACATATATTTGACAATTTATGAATCTATTCCACCATATGTTACTAGATAATTAGAAATCAAATAATTAGTAATATTGCATATATTACCAATTATTTAATTTCTAATTACTTATCTGGATCATTTTGTACACACACTTACGGTTTTCAGTAGTCTCTGTTTCTCTTTCTGACTGTTCACACCTCATGCTGTCAGGTCTCTCCTCTTTAATAATGAGGACATCTGGCTCGTCGTCCTCTACAGACTGATAAAAAGCACAATGCTGCCATGATTCCTGATAAATTATTAGTGGCCAACTGAGCTCACTGATTTGAGAAATACAGTTTCTTACCTCTTGATGGCAGTGCTGGACTGAGTTCTGGTCTATTAAGTTTTCTCTGTGGACTGTTACAAAGACTCTCGCACTCCTGTACTGGTTGTCATCTTTACCTGCAACATGGATGTACCAGTACACACACACACACACACACACATATATGTGTAAATGCTAAAAAAAAATGCTACATAATATCACAAATACATATGTAACAAAATGCTTCACTTTGTGTAATTCTCATATATTTGTTTATTTGTAAATTTTACATTTGGTTACACTTTATTTTAAGGTGTCCTTGTTACAGTGTAGTTATACATTTAAGTACCGAGTAATATTAATTAACTATATGTACTTACTATATGGTTAGGGTTAGGATTAGGGTTACTTGAATGTAATTCTGCATAATTTCTTATTTTAACAGTAAGTACATGTAACGTGTAACAAGGACACCTTAAAATAAAGTGTTACCTTACATCATTATTTGATTGGATCAGTTCTCCTTAAAAGCCTTATTTTTTTCATTCTGTTGACATCAACTAATCACAGATCTGACCACTAGGTAATGCACTTATTCCCTACAATTAATACACCATACTCACGGTTTTCAGCAGTCTCTGTTTCTCTTTCCGAGTGTTCACACCTCACATTGCCAGGTCTCTCTTCTTTAATAAGAAGAACATCTGGTTTGTTATCCCCTACAGACTGATGAAAAGCACAATGTTGTCATGACTCCTGAGAGCATATGTTTATGGAAAAAATCTGTTTCTGAACAGTAGCAATTAGTGATCATCTGACATGGATTTTTCAATGGCCTATGCCAGTATATCCAGACATGTAGAGATGGCATATACACCAATATTCAAAATAAATCAAATAAATTAATACTTTCAAATAAATCAATACTTTTATTGCGCAAACATGCATTATACAGATAAAAAATGACATTTACAGTATTACAAAATATTTCTATTTGAAATAAATGCTGTTCTTTTGAACTTCCTGTTCTTCAAAGAATTCTGAAAAAAAATTGTTCCCACAAAAATATTAAGCAGTACAACTGTTTTCTTTCTATCTATCTATCTATCTATCTATCTATAAACAACTGAATAATAGTAAGCGACACACAGTACCTGAAGTTGCTGAAAGGAAATGAACACTTGCATAATATTTATGCCAAATAGTTTATTATCTTAAGGGGATCAAGTTCAACGTTTTTTTGTTCTTCAGGTATCATTGGAATGCTAATAATACAAAAGACTAACTCTGTGATAAATGGGGAAGTATAAGCACTGTAGGAAGACCGTTTTGAGTGCTGCAAGATATTGAACAAAGAAAAAGGTGGAACTATCAAACTGAACAGATAACAGAGGTTTGCAGTTTGAAGTGTATAAAACACCAGGACAAGACAACAACAACAACAACAAAAAGATGAATGTAATAAGATACACCCAATTCACTATATGCAAACCTGGTCTAGTCTTTCGTGTTGAAGATGCGAGACTTTACCGGAGCGAGCTTCATCTTCATTCCTACCCTCATTACACAGCGAAGCAATTTTCACACTAATTCGCCCTGGAAACAAGCATATACGTTCTCCATTAGTAATTAATAAGTTATAATAGTGACTTTTAATATAATAGAATCAGTCCGACATCACCAACAAATATTGTTTAAATGACCATGATCACCTCTTTACCTGATGCTTTTGCGTGAACTTCTGTTTTTGTCAAGGCAGTTGATTCGTTTCTTAGTTTGTGCGCTCTTCTATAAAACGAATCTCGGATTTCTAGCACTTTCAATTTCTTTTTAAGGAGGTTATTCTCCTTTTGTGTTTGAGATATTTCAAGCTGTAATTCGCTATAGCTTTCCTCAACAAGTTTGCAGATTTCTGCCACAGCGGCGTTTGCGAGTACTTCCATAACTGACGCGATTTGCGTCTGAAACGTTATAATATTTGCCATTGCGTTGGAATCTATTTAGATTAAGCTCCTTTAATAACCGTGAATCAGTCCATACAATAAACCCTTCCAAATGAGTATGCATACGGGTCTAGCTCTCTTCAAACGCGAAGTGGCCAATGAGTCGACAACATCCGCTTGTGCTTTTTAAAATAAAAGCTCTCATGCTACCAAGCTAATTTCACGTGCCCATAAACATTAGTTATGTTTACTTTGGTACAGTATCACAACTGAGTGAACATAGCGGTTCGTTTGGAATATTTCGGATGTTAAATATTGGTACGGACTGAGAAGTTAATGAGGAATGGACACTAACTAACTAACTAACTAAATAAATAAAGACACTACAGGCAAAACATTATTTATGCACTGGCCAATTTTGGGAGGTAGGTCTTTATTTCATTGCAATTTATCTGTTTATATAGAAGTAGATTTCAATTATAATATTTACTTTGAAAGGCTTTTTCTCTCTCGCTAAATGATTTATGTTTTAAAAGGATTTATTTATTTCTAATTATTTATTTCTGAAAAGGTAAAAGTATATTTTCTTTTTTTTTCTGGCTGTTGACAGTATTTTCTGATTTATGAATACATAATTATTAATCATAAGTAATAAATAATTATGAATAATTAATTCAAGTATGCAAACGAAATGAAACAAGAATTTTGAACTGGCTTTATCAATGATCAGTTTTATGTTCTGTTAATGTATGCTAATTTTCATATTTATTTACATTTAAGATTTAATAAAACTTATAATATGCATTTATGGTTGCTGGACTTTTTTCTATCTTTCCTGTATCATTACCGCTATGTAGGCTATTTATTATTGCAAAACAACCTTTTTTATTTTTTTATTTTATTTTACTTTATTTTAATCTAACCAAAGAAGCCTACTGACTGCAATGTTGTTGCACATCTGACATTAAACCTTGACTTGATCTGAGCTATGAAGTTAAGCATAACCTCAACAAATGAACAGTGGCTCAGAAGATATCCATTAGTCGTGGAACTTTCATTTGTTAAATAAATCTTGAATAAATTGTAAATATACGCATTTATTTCCACCTAATTAAAAAATACAAAATAACAAAACGAAAAAATATTCACAGAATTCTGGGTAACATTGTTTACCATATAAACAGCTTTGATGTTCAAGACTAAGGCCAATAATGAGTAAACTTTATATTTACATTATAAAAGAGAAACACAAACTTCTGTATTGTTCTGTATTCTTTATTAATCTAGTATTTTTATTACAGTTTTTTGCAGTTTAACATGTTCATGCCAAATACTTGCATAAATTTGCTTTACATTTCCTTTACATCATGAGCTTGCTTTACCTTTGCTTTACATTATAAAGGGCATGGAGTATGAATAAATAATAGCTGTAATTCCAAAGTTCCACCTTAGACCCTTTAAATGAAACTGCGTTATGTCAAGCAGACTAATGATTTGCAAAAGCTAATTAATTGTAAACGATGAACAGAATATTACAATAAATACAAATAAATAAGAACAATACAATTTCATTATACACTATAGGAAGAATTAAAACATCACATTTAGGAACATTTTATAGAGAACTTGTTTGTCTAGCAATACAGGCATAATAAAATAAATAATTTATAATATAAGCATTAACATAGTACTTTCATTACTATTAAAGAGGCAGCATTGAATTGCATTTTGAATATCCAAAAACCATAATTTTTATGTTATCATTGGTGGCCAGTCCTGTTTTTGTCAAATATCTCTGAACTCTCTAGAAGAGGCTGTTTCGAGTTGTGTACTGTACATTGTACGACCGTCTTCTGTGCCAGCGTCTTCTGATTGCTGCACAGCAACCACACAGCAAACACTAAACACATCAACAGACAAAGTGAGAGTTAGCATCATGGAAGGGAATTTTATACAGATGTACATACACAATTATATACCACATTTAAAAGGAAGATCTACGTCTGTTTTTACCGTAAGAATAACACATGTCTGTTGTCATTAATCGCTTCACTACCAATGCACATATTTGACATTCAGTCATCATAATACTTACGCAAAGGAGAATCCAGCAAGGTATGAGCCCGATGACAATAGCGCAGGGGACAATGATAGCCACAATCCATGCTACGTTTGTACTGTTGTTTGAGATTGTAGTGATCATGGTGGTTGGAACTGGTGTGGTAAAAGCTGTGAAAAGGGCAGTGACCAAGAAACCGGAGGCCGTGTTGCTGCCATATTGTGAGAAAACATACGTAACATTGGCCTCAATCACGGTGAGATCATCCCTGTGGAGAGATTAAAACGTACAATGAGAAACAAAAGTAAATATCTAAAAATGTTCTTACCATTCATTCACCGATGTTTCATAAAAGCCGTTTTCTTCAATTCATTTAGACATTTCTTCTCAAGACAAAGTAAAAAGCAGTGGATCAGAACTCACTTGAAATTGGCTGGAATGAGCAGATTAACTGAGGGGTCCTTTAGGATCTGGATCACCTGTAGAGTGCATCAATTAAAAAAAACAATAGGTTAATGACTAAAATAGGGCAATTTCAGGACAACAATATCCAAGCCTCTCCAACTCACCAAGTCATTTATCTTCTTTTGGATTACTTGATAGGTTTCATTCCTTCTTAACTCTGTCAGTGATACTTTGCTGATTTCAAATGCAAAGATGAGTGCGTAGGCAGTGTCATTAATTGCTTTAAAATAAATGACAAAAATAATTAGTTGTGTGACTATATATGTGTCATGGTATTCCATTATCCATTTTCATTATGCATAATTATTGACTGCTTTTTAATTATTATTTTCCTTCAAAGGAAGTCATAAATAAGGACTACATGATTACAACAGATACACCATTTGCATACAAATGTTATATTCACAACAAAAATGGAGCATGAAAATAGAGCAAAACTCACCCAAATAGATGACATTCGCCAAGGTCACAGGTTCACTCACGCTTACTGTTCTGGCAGTTAGTTTAGTTGTGACATTTGCGGCCAGTATAGATTTAACCAACTCCAGAACACTATTCTCACTTGGTCTTGGGCCCAGTGTGATAAACTCGAGACGAATCCTAATAATTGCCCTCCTACTCCTGCATAAAAAAAAGATGATAAATTATTGGAATGTAAACACAGAAAATTAAAACAACTAGCTTTAAAAAAAAAGGTCTTAGTCTTACAAGATCGGTGGTGAAGTTGTTGTCAGAGTGTCCGCTGTAAAAGAAATGAATAATTAATGGAGAATCAGACTTTCAATTACAGCATTTGGTGTTTTTGAAGCAAGACATAAAACACGACAACGAAGTTTAACATTTGATTGTCAGTTTGGACATATAAACTGTGGGGTAACAGATGGTTGACAGTGCATCAGGTGTAGACATGGTAATACCTTCGGCGAGTTGGAGAAGTTCCTGAACAAAGATGCTGGGTTGCTTGATGTCACTTGGTGAGAAAACATACTCTACTTTGGCCTGAATCACAGTGGAATTACCCCTGTGGGGAGATTGAAATGTACAATGAGAAACTAAAGTCAATAACTAAAAATTATTTTTAGTCACAAGCCATGTACTCATGTACAAAAACTTTCCAACTAACACCAATGAAGTGTCATCAGGACATATTTGCTCAAATCAAAGTAAAAAGTGAGTCAGAACTTACGTGAAATCTGCTGCTTGGAACTTAATGACAGGAGCTGAGGAGTTACTGAGGAGGATCTTGCCCAGCTGAAAAAATGAGATGAATTTGTTTATAAATATGTTGAAGTTAATGTGGTAAATGAAAGAGAGAGAGAGAGAGAGAGAGGGAGAGAGAAAGAAAGAGAGAGAGAAGAAGTAAAAAAGTGTTTGTAAAAAAAGACTACTTTACTGAAATGTCTCCAACTCACCAATGTGTTTATAGAGTCTTGTATTAACAGGTGGGTACCATTCCTGAGTTCAAGTTTCTCAGTCATGGTTATATTGCTGATTTCAAATCCAAAGTTGAGAGCATAGGCGGTCTCGTTTATTTCTTTAAAATATATAATAAAATTAATTAGTTGTGTGGTTATATGTGGGTGATGAAATTTCCCTAATGCATTCCTTAATAGTATTTATTTGTTAATTTAACTTATAGGCTATAAAAGCTACAGATCTACAACATTAGAATTTAAATAACATATTCAGAACAAAAACGAAGCCAAACCAGGAGAGAAAAACTCACTCGTATATGTGACATTGACAAAGCTCACAGGATCACTCAGGTCTTGTGTTGTGGTGTCTTGTTTAGCTGTGAGACGTGTTTTCATCAGAGTGTTGGCCACCTCAAGAACTTTATCTGGATTTGGCAGGGGGCCCAGTGTGACAAACACGAGGCGAATGAATATAAGTGCTCTGCCAAGCCTACAAAGACAATAAATAATGTACATTAAGGTAGGAAATTAAAATTAAAGAAAAAAAGTAAATATCAGACTGAAGTCACTGCTCTTACACTATCTGTGGAGTAGTTGTCAGAGTACTGCCTGTTGTTACGACTGTAAAAGAAAGTAATGATTAATGGAGGAAGCTTGCAGTTACATTTGCAATCCATTGTCGGTTTTGACAAACCTGTCGGTGAACGAAGCTCATTTAGGAAGCTGACTGGTTGTATGGCATCTCCATCCTGGAAGATGTAGTCCATCCTGCCATCAATTTGGTTTGATGTGCTTCTGCAGGACAAACAGAATATATCTGTTAAGGATCTATATGTGCAAAGATGTTTTTGTTTTTTTTAATGTTTTGAGTAAATGCACTTAACGTAAAATGTGAGTACATATCATATACATTAAGTCTGTTTGCATCTTACATGAAGTTGGTCGACTTGGGATTTAAAGTTGTTCTGCCAGGTTCATTCAGAAGACTGTTCAGCTGCAGAAGAAAAATCAAACATTCATGAAACTATGGAGAACAATTATATTGGACCTAAAAATTGTACCCAGTTAATGCTTTATGCTTACCGCATTATTGACGACACCCTGAGCTTGTAGGTATGTGCCATTTCTTAGCTCAGGATCTTTTGACATGCTGATATTACTCAAATTAAACTTAAAGATGACAGCATAGGAGGTTGTCGTGATTTCTGTTTGGATATAAAAGTTGTTTTTTTTTTTGGTCAAAATTTGACAGTTTAATATTTCAAAGGCTTTTCAGGTGAAGTCGATGATACTTACTCTCATAGGTGACATTCACCACCTGCACTGATTCATTCAGCTGTGACTCTCTAGAATTACGGAGAGTGTTGATGGCGCTGAGGACCAGAGCTTCACTGGGGACTGGAGATGAGGAGTTGAACACCAGCTTGCTTGTGACCACCGCTGTACCAGATCTGCAAAGAGGATCACTTTTGATTAATGTGGTTCACTTTTTGTGCTAAAATTATGAATCCATAACAGACTGCATTTAAATGGAATCTCAATACTTGCATTAGGCTTGAAGAAGTCAAAGGGAAATTGGTTATTGTGTCTGGAAACATTGTAGTATGGGTCAGTTCTGCAATGAAAGGGAGAAACATACAATAATATTTAGATTTTGAGGAAAAGTTGTTGTAACTGTCAAGAGTATTTTTCATTTTGTATAGACATACCAGACTGTGATCGAAGCTCATTTAGGAAGCTGACTGGTTGTATGGCATCTCCATCCTGGAAGATGTAGTCCATGCTGCCATCAATCTGGTTTGATGTGCTTCTGCAGGAAAAACAGAATATATCTGTTAAGGATCTATATGTGCAAAGATGTTTTTTTTTTTTTTATGTTTTGAGTAAATGCACTTAACGTAAAATGTGAGTACATATCATATACATTAAGTCTGTTTGCATCTTACATGAAGTTGGTCGACTTGGGATTTAAAGTTGTTCTGCCAGGTTCATTCAGAAGACTGTTCAGCTGCAGAAGAAAAATCAAACATTCATGAAACTATGGAGAACAATTATATTGGACCTAAAAATTGTACCCAGTTAATGCTTTATGCTTACCGCATTATTGACGACACCCTGAGCTTGTAGGTATGTGCCATTTCTTAGCTCAGGATCTTTTGACATGCTGATATTACTCAAATTAAACTTAAAGATGACAGCATAGGAGGTTGCCGTGATTTCTGTTTGGATATAAAAGTTTTTTGTTTTTTTTTGGTCAAAATTTGACAGTTTAATATTTCAAAAGCTTTTCAGGTGAAGACGATGATACTTACTCTCATAGGTGACATTCACCACCTGCACTGATTCATTCAGCTGTGACTCTCTAGAATTACGGAGAGTGTTGATGGCGCTGAGGACCAGAGCTTCACTGGGGACTGGAGATGAGGAGTTGAACACCAGCTTGCTTGTGACCACCGCTGAACCAGGTCTTTAAATAAAACCCCTTTGGTTTAATTTACATCAAATGTTTGCAGTAAAATTACTTCTCTATTTTTGATTGTTCTCAAAATTGAAAACCAATACATACATGAGGTTTGAAGGAAGACGTAGCTCATTTAGGAAGCTGGCTGGTTGTATGGCATCTCCATCCTGGAAGATGTATTCCATCCTGCCATCAATCTGGTTTGAAGTGCTCCTACACAACAAACAGAAGAGATCTGTAATGGACTTTAATCCACATCGTTTTTTTTTTCTGTAATTATTCTTTTCCATGGCTTCCAAGCTAAATTGTGATTACACATGAAATAAAGATTGTGAAGTGAGTTTGCATCTTACGTGAAGTTGGAGGATTTTGGTTTGAAGACTTGCTGGCCAGGTTCATTCAGAAGACTGTTCAGCTGCAGAAGAAAAATCAAACATTCATGAAACTATGGAGAACAATTATATTGGACCTAAAAATTGTACCCAGTTAATGCTTTATGCTTACCGCATTATTGACGACACCCTGAGCTTGTAGGTATGTGCCATTTCTTAGCTCAGGATCTTTTGACATGCTGATATTACTCAAATTAAACTTAAAGATGACAGCATAGGAGGTTGCCGTGATTTCTGTTTGGATATAAAAGTTTTTTGTTTTTTTTTGGTCAAAATTTGACAGTTTAATATTTCAAAAGCTTTTCAGGTGAAGACGATGATACTTACTCTCATAGGTGACATTCACCACCTGCACTGATTCATTCAGCTGTGACTCTCTAGAATTACGGAGAGTGTTGATGGCGCTGAGGACCAGAGCTTCACTGGGGACTGGAGATGAGGAGTTGAACACCAGCTTGCTTGTGACCACCGCTGTACCAGATCTGCAAAGAGGATCACTTTTGATTAATGTGGTTCACTTTTTGTGCTAAAATTATGAATCCATAACAGACTGCATTTAAATGGAATCTCAATACTTGCATTAGGCTTGAAGAAGTCAAAGGGAAATTGGTTATTGTGTCTGGAAACATTGTAGTATGGGTCAGTTCTGCAATGAAAGGGAGAAACATACAATAATATTTAGATTTTGAGGAAAAGTTGTTGTAACTGTCAAGAGTATTTTTCATTTTGTATAGACATACCAGACTGTGATCGAAGCTCATTTAGGAAGCTGACTGGTTGTATGGCATCTCCATCCTGGAAG